CAACTCAGATCACAGTTTTAATGGGGAGCACGGCCAGGAGACTCCCACAAATTTGGTTGTGATGGCAATAGGCGGTCTTAGGATGTGAGGATAGACAAAACTTTCACTCTTATCTGTAGACAGTTGCTCGATTGCGTTTTTAGTAAATGCTGAATTATTTTCGGTGTAAGTACCGTATGAAACTATCAGTAAGTCCTTGCCTCCACAAAGGACTGCCGTCTCGAGCTCAAACGAGAATCGAGCTTGCGTTGTGCGGTCAATTCGATGACACGTTATGCGTAATTGGGCAGACGTGGCTTTTAAGGCAAGCCATGCAATTCCTACATCACTGGGAAAATTCAAGATATACCGACCCTATATATGCCTAGCAATTATGAGCATAATAAAGTGAACAAATGTATTGAAAATTAGATAGGCGCAGGAAACTATGAGAACAGTAAAGAGGTGGGCAATGTGGAAAATTGGCTCCTCTTCATCTACGTCAATGAGTCCTGAAAAAGTAACTGTCCAAAATTTTCGTCACAATTACCCGCTGTCGTTGTCTGCTGGCCATCTCCTTGTCTAGCTCGAGTGCAGCTTGATCCACAGCACGCCAGGCCTCAGCAGCAGCCGGCGCCTTGGAGACTGGCGACTCGAGCCGCCAGAACAGGCCGGGCGGATTTGGCGCAAGCTGACCGGAGTGGGCAAAAGCAGCCTGTTGCTGAAGTTCAGAAAAGGGCGACCGTGTGGAACGGTCTTCTGGCGTCACGCAAGCCTGCATGGGATTGAGACCGTTGCAGGCGAGCCGGACACGCCAACGGACCGCCTTGATTGGAGGGCACCTGTGCAGAGACCAAAGGTGGCAGATGAACCGGGCATACCGACAGAGGTAGGCGAGCGCAGGCTGGCAGAGCGGCGCCCTAACCGGAGCTGGTGACCAGTCGAGGCAAAAGCTGCGTCTGTAAGAGGAGCTCATTCGCGACTTGTGCTGAGGCCCTGGTTGCAATGGGGCATCGGGAGAATTCTTTTAAATGATTAATCAAGCAGATAATTAGACAGCAATTCAGTTATCTACTTAAAAAAAGAAGATGTATTCACCTTATTTTGTCTAAGGTGATGAAGGACTGGTAGTAGAATTTTCCCACAATGATATGAGTTGAGCTG